CAATCAAAAATTACTCAAAAAGATTTATTTCAAAGTTTTCATTAGTTGTGACTCTGAAATAAAAAAATTATGAAACAAAAAATTAGCTGATAAATAATATTTCTCTATCTAGAGAATGATACAAAACACGTTTACCTTATATAAAACAAATCAGTATCAATTTTTTATTGTTACTGTTAAAAAAAGCCAATAATTTACATTTTTTTCTATAAATACAATAGAATCAAAAGTACTGTACTAGAACTAAAATATTGTCGGGGATCATAATGAAATCGCATTATAATGAAAGAGAGTTTTTATTCAACCTTCTAAAACCAACTAATACTTGTTTATTATAAACTCTACCCTAAAACCAACCTCCAAAACTAACCCATAACCCTAAAAAATGCACATCCAAAGTTTTTATTTTTCGGTGGCCTGCCTATTTTACATTGTACAATATTTTATTTTTATCCGATTTCATTTTAATCTGTCACATTTGTTTTACTATGTTCCTATACCGAATTCTATGGTAAATTCTTTTTAAAGAAAGTTCATTATAATGGGTTGATTGTAAAAAGTTCATTATAAAGAGAGTTGGCTGTTAACATTGCATATGCATAAGCGCGTCAAGGAGTCGGATTATTATGTGACTGCGACCTCGACCGGTGGTTACGCTGGATTTGCTGTAAGTAATGGCTCATAAACGGGAGTATTTCTCCAATATCTGCAACTTGAATAAGCAAAGTGTATAATAAAATAGCAAATTAAGCCAAATATAAATCCCAATAAAATGGCAGTCATAGGAATTTGTTCATTAGTTGGATTATTCGGCAATAAATGAATTTCAACATCGACAAGGACCGAATCACAATAACAAACATTATCTAGACCATTTCCTACAATGAAATCAATAGTTTCATTTGTTCTAACGGTGATACCACTTTTAGTTGACTTGTATGATTTGAAATCTCCGATACCAAAGAGGTCAGCTTCCCAAAGTGTTAAGGAATTGTTATATACTATATAACCTCCCGTATGTGTAAAATTCGCATGATCATCAATATGTATTAACATCACGCTTAGATTATAATTCCCATCTGTCGGTGCAGTAAACCTCGCTACAGAAAATTTACCGTCACAAGAAGGATGCATGTTTATACCATGCCCTGGATATATTATCTTACTACTACCAGCGTCTAAAATGGTAGTTGTTGGATTTGGGTTGAAAGATAAAATTGGATGTTCGTATTCATTAGGGGACCAAATGATTATTCCACTGCCTTTTGGGTCTAGTGATAAATACGTAAATAAAACAAACGACCCGGTAACTTGATAGCCAGGTGGCTTATAACCATAAGACCATACAGAATAAGAGTTTATAATAGAAAAATCCGTGCTTAACGACCAAGCTGAAGCCATAATATTTCTATAATGACATTATTAATTGCTTGTTAATTTATATGATAAAGTTATGATGCACATAAAAGGATTTAAAAGCTTCTTGGAAAGTTCTTTACATACGTAATGTCATTGGAATGGTATAATGCGCGCTGGGCGTAATAAGTGCATGAGTGTTACCTTATCTAGTATTAGAACGTTGCCTAATTCAATTTTTGATCAACACTAACGCAATTATCGATTTTTTTTGGCCAAGATTTGCTTTCACTATTAGCGAAAAAGTAGGCAAACAGCATCAATAGTACGTATTACAAAACTGAAAGTGCTTTACTGTATATTACAGACACAATACTCAATGCTAGTCATGCTCGTGCTCATACTCGTGCTGAGTTCCTATATTATAGCTATTCTCGTAAATTTGGGGCATCTAGTAAAAGATTGACTGAATGATTGTTTACTGATTCGATAAGATTTTGAATTCGGTAATGAGTGATTGCGTCATAACTTGCTAAATAATTGTGATAATGTATATCGATATCACTATTTTATTTTTGAGCTTCAGATAAGTTGATATTATATAACAGGAGGAACCGTTGATGTTACACGACTAATCCTTCACCCGGTGCGCAACATATAAAAAATTATTTTACAATACCAGATCATAGCGCTAGTACGTACGTACATACGTACTACGTACGTTGTGTAGGGCAAGTTCGACCTCTAAACTTTATTTTTGTCTTTTAAATTCTAATTTTGAGGTCAAGGTGGTACAAATTCCTGGAATTCCCGGAATTCTCGGTTTCTTGAGATTCGAGGGATTCAAGGAATGATGGGAATTTCGAGAATTCATAGAATAGTAAGAATAACAAGAATAATTAGAACTACTAGAATTCCACCATATGTATAAAATAATTATATAAAGGAGGAGTTCGACTCATAGAGAGTCTATCATCCCTGATTTCAACGTTTCGCTTTAATTACCCCAAATAAGGCAAATCCGTATAGCATTAGTAATTTAATCCCGTAATTCCGAATTAGAGCTTCGTGACGTAGTCTAGAACTCTATTTGACCCTAGTAGCTCGGACCAAGTCTTCCACGCCTCTTTCGTGCCTACCACTATTAGGGTTCGATAGAGTTTAGTAGTTTAGAGTGTTGTGTTGTTTTAGATTAGTTTAATGCCGATTAATATCGTTGAGACCCATCTTTTGTGATTCCGGATTGGTCCTCACCTTTACAACGTACATGTTATGATTACAGTGAAGGATCAGTCGTGTAATATCGACGATTCCTCCTGTTATATTTTATTAGAATCAGTTGCTATTACTCAAACAAGTTAGATATTTCGGATTACTTCAGACAAGCTAAACATTTTTAAAATGTTTGCTATAGACGAACAAAGTTACTGGTTCCTTTAGTTGTTAGCGTTAGATCAACCGTTTCAATATTTTTATCTGATTCATACTGATTTGCTTTTTGGCTTATATTCTACAGCTGTTTTCATAATTCCTGGGACACCTAGTAAAATTTAACCGCATGATTTTTCGGCCGATCCGATTAAGTTATTGATTTCAGCATAATCGATATATAAAAAATATATTTTTGAATCAGGTCCATTTTTTAATATTGATATTGTATACGTAATTCTTAATAACTATGATATCTACATAACAAATTAAAATATATCATTGGTCCGATTTCAAAAATCATCACCCATATTTATTTGATATTAACATCAATATCATATTTACATAATAAAATTCTTACTAAACATGTTCAATAAAATTTCCATAATCAATAGAAATGATAGAACCTACTAGAATATAATACAATGCATTTTCTATGGTGAATCGTCTTCCTCGAACAAAAATTTATTTTTTGAGCACGCATTCCTGAAAAATTCCAGCCATAGCGTCGTAATAGCGTTCTTCTGTCACAACTGATAAGCGGTTTCAGTCAGTAAATAGTCCATCTCAGATTGTAATTCATACAAGTATCAATAAGGTTTTTCGTTCATAAAGTTTTAAGATATTTTATATCGTTAATGTTTAGAGAACGTGGTTTTCTTGAAAGCGACCGAAATTTTTAATACAGCAATATCTTTGAAAATGCACAAGTACCCGACTTATAGAAGACCCATTAACACCTGAGCGTTTTGCAATTTTTCGAATTGATACGCATTTAAATTTTTTTCAATAATTTGCTAGCGAATGTGCTTAGAAAGCATCATATTTTTTGAATTCAACAAGAGATACGCATAATCTTACTGTATATTAATTAAATTACGTATATTATATCAATTTTTATTGAATTTATTATGCCGAAACAATAACTTAGCCAGAACGGCCGAAAAATTATTTGGCTAATTTTTTATCAGGTATCTCAGGAATTCTGAAATAATTTATATTACATTAGAGTTCCAATCCGAATAAATCTGTCATCCGTTTATCCATATCTAATTATCCGGATAATTCAAATCGCTCAAATATCCAGATAATCTGACAAGTATTCGGATATCAATAGTAAATGGATATCAGAATAAATAAATAAATAAAATACTTTTATCGTTATAGATTTTTACCGTGACTTTGTTGATTATAATTTTCAATGCAGTTTAACAAATATTAAATAACTTTGATGTTTGGAATTATATCTCGAGTTGTATTTCTTCAGTTCAGTCAATAAACTCTTGTTCATTTCGAACTTATTTTTATTAGTTCTTTTATGTAATATATTTATTATGAAAGCTTATCTTTGTTTCTGAACCATTTTTATGTTTTTTTGTTAAGATTTGATGGTTGGCAAGGCAATTTTCTCCATATATTTCATAAAGAATAAACCCACCAAACATACTGGACATGCATTCAGGCGAGATCTTGATTTTTCGATGTGTTGACATTGTAATATCTGACATTAGCTATAATCCCAGCCGATTTAATCAGTATTAATTCTTTCAGGAAAATGGTTTCAGAAAATTGTACGTATAGTAGTCTCCTTGATTAGCTATCTTCAATCTGAATTTCCTAAACATAATCCTATGCATTTGGAAATGATTAACAAATTATTTCACTCTCATCTTTGATCAATTATTATCAAGTGAATAGTATGTAAATCTGCATCGGGTCACCGATATTTATGTCTAAAAAAACATGGGTTGACTATAATTTATTATGGCATTTGTAATTGTATTTATACGCATAATCGCATTTTGCTCTCACTTTTAATAATTTGATTTGGAGTTTTAAAAATTTAATTAGGTATGCCAAAGATTACGAGAAAAGCGCCGGATATAGAAGAAAGTGTTACACATACCCAGTGAAGGTGCTACGTGTGAAGTCCAGATATGCATTCGCGCTCTTGCTTCGCCATATGCATTCGCCCAATAAGAGGCACGATTTAGAAGACGCACGCTATTTAATTTGCAATATAACCATAAACTTCGTAAAATTTTCAATATCGCCAATCCTGGTACGTACGTACGTATGTTTTTTTTCTGAATAAGTAAACTTGGTATAGTTTCTATTATTGTCTTTTAAATGCATATTTCACATGCTAATACGTTACTAAAACAGGTTTCTTGCATTACAAATATAAATAATATGATGAAAAATACGTCATAAATAACTTTCATTTACGTATTAAACTCTAAATTTTTTTATAAAAATATATAAATTGAAAAAAGTATTTAAAGAAGAATGGAAGGAAAGTTAGGAGAAATTCGATATTCTATTTTAAATAAAGAACAATTTCAAGAACTTTATGGAAAAGAATGGATTCTTATGGATGGTTCATCCATTTCGGGAAGCGATTTGGAAAGAAGATTCGGTTGGACTTTTGTACCTGATGCGAGAGGACTTTTTTTAAGATGTAAAAATAATGAAAGAAGTGATGGATTAGAAAATCCAAGTGGCGAGTTAGGTCTAGGTCAATATCAAGCAGATAATTTAAAATCTCATACTCATGTCGGTTTATTCGTTAGTAACATAGAAGGTCAATGGGGACAAGATGCTTATCAAGGGGAATTTGATTCTCATAGGCTACCTACTACTCCATGGGGGTCAACAAGATCTTTTTATACAGGTTATACAGGTGAAAATGAAACCTGCCCAAAGTCTATTACAGTAAATGCTTTTATCAAAATTAATTTTTCCATGTGGTATGAGCCACGTGAAGGCTTGAAAAATGCAATATCTCAATATTTTAAGAACCTTGAGCCATTTCATCAAGATAAAATTTCTAAACTTCTCAATGAATCAGATAAACAAGATCTCTCAGAAGCTTTTTGGAAACTAATTAGACCATTACTTTTACCAAACAAGCCTATAGATGATTCTAATTTATTGGTGAGTCTTTAACTTGTTTCTATTTTAAAAATTGTTTTCCTTAGATAATTTACATGAATTTTTTTAATACTTATAGTTGGAAATAATTTTTAAAACTTTAGTAACTATATCGGAGACAACTAAATTTGAACCTCTTCTATCTATTTTGGAAAGGATTTTAATTACATATCTGTGGAATGGTATTATTAAGCCACCAATCGCGCAAGCTGGGTACAACTATCGCAGTGCCGATGGCTCTGATTATAGTAGAATTAATCTTTATTCAGAACTTGGAAAAGCTGGCTCTAGATATTCACGTTTGGCTCGTATTAAGAACTTTTCTAAAAATAATCTACCTGATGCAAATGATGTTTTTAATAGTGTCATGAAGCGCACTGAATTCAATGGTCATCCTTCGGGCATCAGTGCAAATTTGTTCTATCTGGCCATTATCATCGCACATGATTTATTTAATACTAATCATCAAGATTCTACTATTAACCTTAACTCATCATACCTTGATCTCGCTCCGCTGTATGGAAATAATCAGAAACAGCAAAATAGCGTTCGTACCTTTAAAAATGGTCTATTGAAGCCAGATACATTTGCAGACCCACGAATATTGTTACAACCACCCGGTGTAGGTTCTATGCTAATTCTTTTTTCACGAAATCACAACTTTATTGCTGAACAACTCAAACGACAGAACAAACTCAGGCTAGATGAGGATATTTTTCAAACTGCTCGATTAATTAATTGTGGATATTACATGAAAATTATTATACACAATTACCTACGTACAATTCTTGGTCTTGATCAAACTACTTCAGAATGGCACCTTGATCCAAGATATTCATACAACGATAGTTGGTTGCTTCAAAGCTTGCCTACTGGAATTGGAAACCAGGTTTCATTAGAATACAATTATGTCTATCGATGGCACTCAACTATCACAGAAGATGATGCTGCTTGGATTGAAAGAAAATTCAGAGAAGTTCTACAAGATGATATAGCAAAAGTAAGCATGCTATGTATCTTATTTGTTATATTTCAAATTGAAAAAAATTATTTAAATGTAATAATATCATTATTTAAATAGGTTGATCCCGATAAATTCCATAAAAAAGTAGAAAATTGGTTAGATGGATTGGACGAAGATCCATTCGAATGGTCCTTTGGTAATTTGATAAGAGATTCCGATGGAAATTATGCAGATTTTGATATTGCAATTAATCTCATCAAAGGGACAGAAAATGTTGCTGGTAAAATCAACAGTATTCTACTTTTTTTTTTTTTGTGAAACTAGCAGTTAACTATATTTGTTATTTACATAATGAACAGGTGCTTTTGGAGCGAGAGGTATTCCTGAGATCTTCCGCGTTATTGAGGTTTCCGGTATTAAATCAGCTAGAGGCTTAGGATTATGTAGTCTCAATGATTTTCGTCGTTTTTTGAATTTAAAACCTTACAGTTCGTTTGAAGATATGATGGGCTTAGAAAGCTCTGATAATCAAATACTAAAAGATCTTAAGAGGCTTTATAATAATAACATTGAAAATGTTGAATTATATCCAGGTCTCATAGCGGAAAAGACAAAGCCTGCCAATAATATAGGTTCAATGGTTGCGTTTTCATATACTATTAGCCACGCTATTCTTTCAGATACGGTTAATTTTATTCGAAATGATCGTTTTTACACTGATGAATTTAACCAATGTAATTTGGCAGTTTGGAATTGGGAAAAGCTTGAAAAACCAAATTCAAAAAATCTTGCATCTGGAGGTGTCATACACCAACTCATTCTAGAGCATCTCCCTAAAATTTATAAAGATAATTCGGCCTGGGCTTTATATCCGTTTGTCGCTAGTTCACAAATTAAGAACTATCTTAAAAAACGCGGGGATGACTTGTATGAGAAACTCGATTATTTTAGACCATGTAATTATAATTAAGAGTATTTTTTATGTTTCATAATTTTTTTATTTCAGAGTCACAACTAATGAAAACTTTGAAATAAATCTTTTTGAGTAATTTTTGATTG